TTGCAAATTTCGTACTTATTTTAAAAAATTATGGAGGGAGAGGGAAGGGAGGCCAATGGCTTTTATGGTGGCCATATTATTATCGTTTTTGGCGAGAAGTCTAAGCGGAAAATTATTTAATATGAAGTTTATTATTAAATAAATTAAATTTATTAATTCCTAATTTTTTAAATCTACGAGGTTGAAAAAAAGAATTATTAAGGTAGAAATTCGCAATTAGTCAAGGGCAATCGAAATTTTATAAGCCACGAATTTTGCAATGAACAATTTGATGCGAAGAAATCGAGCACCACTCAATTTCAGGAAGGCAAATTTCTAAAACGTAAAAATTCACTTGGTGAAATATAAAATCTAATTTAAAATCCATTTCAATCACGTTTACACGTTTAACGACAAAAGTCAGTCAAAAATCAAAATCAAAATCAAAATAGAATATTCTATATGAAAATATAGAAAGAACCATGGATTGTTGAGAGCTTTCATGAAAAAGCCAATACCCGAAACCATGAAGAATCGTTTAGTCTTTCAAAACAAACGAAAATTACTGATAGAAATATCAGTGTAAAATTTGCTTGTGATAATGGAGAATATTGAATTAATTGTGGATTAATAAATAAAAAGAATTATCACAACAAATTTATGATAAATAAAGATAAAATAATGATAAAAAACTTTATTTCCATCGAATAGATTTTAATAAATTTTAATAAATTAATTTTAATGCCGTACAATGTCATAAAGATTTGTAGCGATGAAACTTTAGCAAATATTTCTTACTTGAGATACTATCTGAGTTAAGAACCAGAATAGACTCTCAAACTTGGGTGACTACATTGAAATCTCTTTGGTGCCTCTTATTTGAACCATTTTGTAATAAAGCCCAGTTCGCCGGCCTCACTTGTACCATAAATATAAGCGGAATTTCGAAGAGGTCTCTCATTTCCTAAAAAAAAATCATGTGGATCAGCATCTGGATCCAGCCTTTAATCTTGCGGTGCTGAAACCCATTTCCTCTTCTTATTTTTACCTATTTAAGGAACTAATTACTTATAAGGACAAGGCTCTTCGATCCCAAGCAATTGTACACCCCTTAGTCGCATTTTAAGTTACCCAATTCAAAGTTTTATGATCATCGTGTCTGTGTCTCAACTCCTAAAATTTTAGAAAAATCCTTGAATTTGTCCAAATCCTTGAACTAGAAAAGAATCATGTACAGGCCAGGCTTCCTTGTGGTTATGGTTGACCAATAGGAATTTATTATTATTTTGATAATTTGACAGGTCTTGGAGAAAATTAAAGTACTATATAATCGATCTTTATTACCTTAAATTATTACTTTGTTACTTTAAATAAATTGGCAAAAATTTGCAAAATTTACAATCCAGTTTTAGCACTTTGCTCTTTAACAAATGGCCCATTATTTTTAAGATCTAAACGATTGACGTTTCATTATCATATGCTCGCATTCTTTCCACAGGCTGGTTCCAACTACACAGTTGTGCTTTTCACAGATCATCCATAAAAATATGTTCAATATCAAAATCCTCTGGAAAATAAAATGTATGTGCCCAACGACATTTCTGATTCGAATGCAGCATCGCAAATTTATCGATAAACATGACGCAAAACACTCTTATGATCGATTCATAAGAAAAGGCCAAGCAGTCCTGGACACGATAAGCGACCTACGTATTGTTGCCCTGGAGGTGCTTGCTTGTGAAAAAAAATCTCATTGTCCACATTCTGTGCATAGGTTCCAATTACATGGTGCCATATGCCTTTAAAAGAGAAAATCGAAGAATTTATCACATAAAAATGAAATTATTGATAATATTGAAAAATTTAAAATTTAAAATAAACGATAGGCGTATAAAATTATTTCATCGCTAAATCGTACCAGTAGATGCCAATTGCCACCAAGTGAATTGCGAAAAAGTGCCAAGTCTGCTGACGCGTCCCTCATCGGTTCATTTCACTTCGATTTTTTGAGGGAGAAATTTAAATCGTAAAATTATTAAAGTAAATTATTATTAATAGTAAATTATTAAAAATTATTATTGTTATTTTAAATTTGCGAGAGAAATATTGCATTTCTTAAAAATTTAATACGACTCTCTGCTTCTATTATTGATCTCCAATTCTTTGATCCTCGCTTTCATTATCCTTAAAATTCCAGTTTACGTACATAGTTCCCTCCTTACCCCATGTGAGTATCACCAGTCGGACCTTCAGGAACTTGGAAGAGGAAAGGTAGAAAGAAGCTTTCAGAGAGTCTCGTCCGAAAATCCTCACTGGAAACGTAGAGAGGATTGGCTGCGATTCGAACCGTTGTTAGATTTCGTATTAGTAGCTCGGCTCGCCTTAATCATTGTACTATTCTAATGCTTTAAATTTCATTATGCTTAAAATTTATGGATATATATAAAAAAAAGTCCACAACCCTCCCGTTGGTGGCAATAACCCCAACGACCTCAATCTTAGGTCCTCTGCCAAAGGTTTGGGAGATTTAACGGGTTCTTAGTAATTCCTAGTAGTGCGCTCTTCGTGGATAGAATCTGATATCTGCTGAAGCCACTTTTCTAGCTTAGAGGGTCCCATAGTTCCAAGTGCTCCAATTATAACTTTAGCCTTTATTTTCCACTTCTTCGCTAATTCCTCTTTCAGCCTTTGGTATTTTCCTAATACTTCCCATATTCCTTCTTATCGTTCCAGATGAACCCGCAAAAATTATGAATTATGGCAATGATATAGTCAAGCATAATGAATTTATTGGTTTTATTACAGGTTACTGAGATCTATTATTTTAATCCTTCTTCTAAGTACCATTGGTACCATTAGTACCATTGGTTTGGTTGTCTTTATTGGCTACTAGGATGACGATTTCTCTCACCTTTTAATCGAAATAATGAACTTGCAATGAATTCAGTTCATTTCTCTCAAAGCCCATATATCGCTGAATCGTTTATGTATACTCTTTTTTCTCTCTCTCTTCTCTTCTTCTTTTTTTGTCTCTCTCTCTCTCTCGTGATATTTCTATAATTTTGGTAAACCTTAAATCTACACAATCCCTTCCCCACTTCATTACCAACCCCTACCAACCCCTCCCCCTCCCACTCTGAAGTCCCACCCAAGTTTCTCACCCCCCTCTCTCCCTCGAAAATCTTTTTCGTTATCATTTCCTGCTTTTAAATTCAAGTAAAAAACTGAAATAAGTATAAAAACCGAAATTGCGTCCCATTCGACTTTCTTTAATTTTGTGTGCTATTTCGCTCAGTCCTTTTTACTTTCTTTCTCTACCACTCTTCTCGATATATTAACAATAGTCGCGTATTTTTCATCTAGCAATGCGTCGTTCATCGTGTCAGCAAGAAATCAATCGTGTATGGCCGTAGTGTATAGCTGGGGGGAAGGGTTCGCTAAAGGGTATTAGGAAATAAGTCCATTCGAAGAGGAGTTTGGCTAAGTAGAAGGAATCGATTAAGGCGAAAAGGATTAACTGAAGGGAATAAAGGAAGTTCGCTGATATTAGTTGAAGTGATTCGTTGACTCGGATGATTTGGATCGTTCTGAATTCATTAGTTATTTCTTATCACTTATCAGTTCTCTTATTCTTATCACCATTTTTCGCCCATATTTATTTTTTATTAACGTCGATTTTGCATATTTTGTAGGATTTATCCATCTCTATATGGCTAACGGATCGTCAACAACATATACGGTTTCATTTAATGTTGACGTTGGAATTTTACGACCATGGGAATATGTTTTTGTTTGTGGTTCATCAACGAAACTTGGTGATTGGATCGTATCGAATTCGCTAAAATTATCACCGTCTTCTGAATCACCGTTCGTTATTTTATTTTGCTAAAATTTTATATTTGAAAAGTTTGAAGCCGACGAATACGCTGGTTAGGCTGGCCGCCATTACAAGAATTGACGCTATTTCTCGCTATTTTCTAAACACTATGATTGATGGCGTCAAGAGCGAGGAAGACGAATCAAAATGATGGTTTAATACAGCTATAGCTAGAAGAGATTTTGAACATATAGGCGTCCGAGTTGAACTTAGGCGATAGAAGCAGCAGTGGCTTATTTTTAATTATGGGTCGAGAAGCCTGAAACTACCGTTGAAGCCAACCTAACCAATATTTTATTATTCATTTATTTCTACCTCCTCCATGGGTTGCTTTTCTTTTTTCGGTTTCCTCGACTTACCATCCTTTTTCTCCAATTTCCAGTTGGGGACTTAGGCATCTTTAATAACTTTATTCCTGTCCCAAATATTTACTCGCGGTCAAGAAAATAAAATTGAACCGATGTTGTTTGCCTTGTTGTTAGAAGCCGCATTATACGACTTTAATGCTCAATTTGCACCATTAAAATTTAGAGTAATTTTGAGGACTGATAAATTTATCATTTGCAAGAGAATATAAAAATAAAATGAAATTACAAATTTTCCGAAAATTTGATGAATTGATAAGCTTATCAATTGCTAGAGAAAGTGAAATTTTATTTCGTTTAAGAAATATATGGTGTGATGTTGTACAGTTTCAAGAATCTTTTATAGAATTTCGTTATTTTATTGGTTATTTTCTTGATATTGGATCTACGGACTCTGCTCCGGTTTCTTTTCTGATATATTTTTAAATTTTGCTTATTTTTTTCCTTTTCTAAAATTTTTTGCGTAAAGTTCATTTGTAAAGTTCTTAAGAAGAAATAATAAATGAAAATTTATTTTACTAAGTTCCATTTTAACTTTACACCTTGTAAAAATAAAAATAAATAAAAATTTAATGAAGAGAAAAAAAAAATTTTTTTCGAAATTTTCAATTATTTATTTTAGTAAATTAATTTATTTATTGATATTTGTGCATAGAACATCATCCTATACATTTTTTTTTTATGTTTTAAAGAGATATTAATTAAATGATAACAATTATCCATAGAAAGTATAGTTGAATCTCAAGCCCCTCGTTGGATTTAACTTTTTAATAATATTTTATTTGTTTTATTATGATTTTCAGGAGTTATTAATAAGTAAATGGGAATCATTTTTGCAAGCGCGATCTGTTAAGCTAGAAGATTTATCAAATTCAATTTGCTGTATTCATCATGTTTTTGGCGAAAATAGTGACTTTTTTTTTAGTTTTTTAAATAGATAGTAGATTTCAGCCTGCTTGGCTGCCTATAGACCCTCTCTATAGTCTGAAAGAAGAAGCTAATGGCTTTTTTTTTCAGAGTTGGATAAATAAATATTCATTCATTAGCAGTTTTCTTCTTAATTAATTGCCTGTTGTTGAAGAAGATTTTTTATTTCTTTCATAGCAAATGCATTTTATAGAAAAAAAGATTTAAAGTTTAAAAGCATAATTAATAATATATTTTTAACGAATGTTTATTTTTATTTTTGAAAAAGTTTTCAAAAATTTTGTGAAATTAATAAAATTAATATATTAATAAATTAAATTAATAAATTAGTTAAACGGTTAAAAAATGAATTAGAAGATTAGTTTTCAGTGATCATTTTTTGCGTTTTCGACAAATTATCAGTGAAACGAGTTTTAAAATTTTTTAATCATTTTTTTTTCCAATAACGTTCGTTAATTCTGATTAATCTCATTCTGATGGCTTGTCGAACCAAATAGATTTTGTTAGGAATTTACTAGGTTGTTAGGGTCGATTACCAGCATTACTCGTATTTTTGAAAAGACAGGCCTACTTCTGTCAGAAGTGGAAATACAACATCGATGCTCCGAATTTAGAGCAACGAGCCACTCGGAAATTTCACCTTTTTTTTATTATATTATATTTATTTTTTTTATATTTTTGTCACCACAATTTCTATCGTAAATTGATTTTGTAAAAGATTATACTTTAGAAGGAAAACAATTTATAAGTGATGGCTGGCTTTCAAGCAAAAATCAGAATGAAATTCTATTACGGATTCACGGTGATCCCTTCAATTTCTTCACAAAAGCGCATGCTAAACGTTCATATCGTTTAAAAGTTACGCCTTTTGACGTCCGACATAAAGAGGTATATTTATTTATTCCATACAAATAAAGGTTTATTTAAATTACACCGTATAGATATAAGCAAACGGTCACTACTTAAATAAATCGCTTTCGAAATTTGTCTAGTTCGACAAATCAGCGAAGCGAGTTCAACCAGTTTTTCCGATTAAACTTGTCATTAAAGCTGAAATTGAAGTTAAAGACCCTATATTTTTTCGTTATTTTTTCAGAAGTCGAGAGAATCATCTTCATAAAATTTATTTTTTTAACCTTTGTTATTTAGATTTTCAATTACGATTTAAAAGGAAAAGCGTTGTGGAGAGCTTGTTCTGTTTATAAACCATCAGTATGATATAAATTCCTTTAATATGTGTTGTACTAGATCAAATTTAGAATTTTAGAAATAGTTTTTTTTGTTGGTTTGTGTAGACTATCAATTAATATACTTCGAACCAATATTTGATGGCTTTTCAGATAGGCAGCATTGATGATGATGATGAAGGTCAAGATGGAATTCAGCTTCCGCCACAACCATCTTTTTCCGTAGCCCATTTAGCGGTATGTTTGTTTTTTTTCTTTTTCCGATATTTCTATATTTTCAGTGAATTCAGTGAATGCGTATGATGTTGTATAAGGCAATAAGTTGTTAAGTTAAGTTGTTTAAATCATATATACATATATGTATATATATTTCTAAAAATGTGATAATTGTAAGTAGGATTACGAGATTTAAATTCGTTTTTAGAAGGACATAAGTCTTAATGATAGATTTTGATAGATTTGTTCGATAAAAAAAATTACACCCTTTATTTCCACTTGCTTTAATGGTATGCGTAACGCATTTACCTTATTTTCTTTATTTATCGGACTAAATCATTTTTTTGCAAGGGAAGATTTAGGAATTTGATAGAAACTGTAAGAATTGAAAATTTATATATATTTTCAGCCTTGAATTCAGTAGCTCGAAAGACTCTGGATTGCTGGAAAGCATTCATAGGCGAAAAAACTGGGTTTTTCAATAGATTTATAAGATTCATCCCACCTTTACCGTTTGAAATTTTTCTTAATAATTAGTAGTAAAATATGTGCTTGCGTTACTTTTTGTTACCTTACTCTTTTTATTTTTTTTTAAATACATTTTATTCTTTTAATTAGTTTAGTCAGTATGTTCGATAATGAGATAATGATCGATTCAAAAACAATTTTCTAATTTTCCACAAGCCCTTGCTTTTTTTTTAGTTTTGAGCTTATCAATGTCCCATTCATTTTCAACGAGGCTTTTTCTTGTTTAGATCCAACAAAGTTAATTTTTTTCTCGTCTCTGTCAATTCAAATCAGTCATCTAACATCGAACGACGATGTTTCAGATATAAGAAGCACAGCGGATGTTCTCATCGATTTACAATACTTCTTATCTACGATGGCGTTTCTCATGAAGGCGTGAAGGCCATTTGGTGTCGCATAATACTTGTTCTACATTGGATTGTCTCAAAATAATCTCTTTTTGAAATGTGCTTAAATGCATCCAGCGACCATCCATTTTCAGATTCTTTCTTCGGATGAACCGCTTTTTCACGAGCAATCGCTTTTTGGCGAGGAATTCAAAGTGGGCAGAGATTATTTCGTTTTTCGAACAAGATCTGTTGCTGTTGCTTATCTTGTTAGTTTAGTTACTTGGCTTAAATTTAACTAATTTAGAAAGAAACGAAAAATAAACAACATCTGTTCGATTCTTACCCCTTCTAAATTAAAAAATAATAAAAATTAAATATAGATGGTGCTGGAGAGCCAACTCCATTCCTATTATATGTTGATTTCATGGTGAAAATAATGCGTGCAATACCTATTTATTTCCTCTTAATTCTTATTTATATAAAATTATTGCAGGGTTTTCGATTGGAACTTTTTTTAAATGATTGCGATAATCTCAATTCTCTTAAACGTTTTGCTGTAGCCTACGCAATGCCGAATGCTTTTCCTGGTGATTATGGTGTCGCATCAGTTAATATGATGTCAAAACATGATCGTCCTATAGGCCTTTTAAGAGGTTATTTCAGATTAGTTATTATTATTTTATGCTATAGTCGCAGAATAATAAAAAACATTACTGATTTCGAAGTATTTATATCGGGCAATAAGCGTATTTAAATACAACAGTTTTATGGTCAATGATTGGAATTTTTCATTCATTTTCGTTGCAGTCGATTATCTGTTCATGAATCCTTTGCTTAAAGACGTTCAACTTTCAATGGCAGTAAGAACTTTCTCGAGACACTGGAAAAAGCGCCAAGCCCTTGAAGTTGGCCATAGAGGAATGGGTAATTCATATACAAAGTGTGTTTTCTACCAAGTTTTTTCTAATTTCTTCATTTGCATTTTTTGGGCTTATTCTTGCTTACTTTCAGCATTTTGTAAATAATAGTAATACTTTTTGTGAGCATCTTTTCCAGCTTTCCTTTATCCATTTACTTAATTTCTTCATATAACCAGTCGCTGTCCTTTTTTTTTGAGGTGCTACTTTAATATAAATTACAGAATGGCAGCAGGACGAGAAAACACCATATCATCATTGAATTCAGCAGCCAGCAAAGGAGCTGATTATGTGGAATTCGATGTACAGTTATCGAAAGATAAAGTGATTTTATTTTGCTTCATTTTTCATTTTTTTTGAAAAATTTTGAAAATTTTATTGAAAATTTTTTCAATAAAAGTTGATTTTAGATCGCTGTCATTTTCCATGATTTTCACGTTCTCGTTACTGTAGCGAAGCGAGATCTTCCAGTTTTTCAAGCAAACGATTCAGCCAACGATTTGTCAAGCAATTTTCATGAAATGGCTGTCAAAGATTTAAAATTAAAACAGCTTCAACTCCTTCGTGTTTCTTTCCATTTGTTTTGCTTAATTGTTGCCATTTTTATTCCAACATCTACGTGAATGTTTACGAATAATTTGCATTTATCTACATTATCAGATCTTTATTATTTATATAGAAAAATTTTGCTCTAACTCTAACTCTTCAGATCATTTCCATTTATTTCCATTTCAGTTGGAGCATCGGAATGTTAGCTTAATTCTTTGCCGAAACGATTCTCTACCGAAGGGCTCATTAAGATTAACAGCAGAAGCCGATGAAGCTGCTGAAAATCATCCATTTCCTACTTTAGTGGAAGCACTTCAACGCGTCGATCCATCAGTTGGATTTAATATTGAAATCAAATATCCTATGATGCAAAGGGTTAATATTAAATTCATTTCTACTGAAGTCAACATTTTATTTATTTCTTTTATTAATTAATTAAAAAATATATTTTAGAATGGCGAACACGAATGTGAAAATTATTTTAAACATAATGAATATATTGATATTATATTGAGCGATGTTTTTAAATACGCAGGTGATCGACGCATTTTATTTTCATCTTTCGATCCTGATATTTGCGCATTGTAAATTTTCAATTTTTTATGAAAATTTCTGATGCCTTCATTATGAATTTGTTATGGCTTTTTATTTAGCTATGGATTTTTGATTTATTGAAAATCTATTATTAATACTTAACTGTCTATACGGATATTCACATATATTCCTATTCTTGTGCAACATTTTATGAGGAGTCAGTAATTCAGTGGAACTAGCCAAGTTAAGAATTGTATAGAAGAAGGATATGAATGGTATTAATATTGGTGTTAATTTTTAGAATAAATGCCAAACAGCAACAATACCCTGTGCTTTTTTTGTGTCTTGGTTTAACAACACGATATGAACCATTTGTTGATCTTCGAGCCTCAAGTTCAAATTCTGCTGTGAATTTTGCTGCTAGTCTAGGCATCCTGGTAAATATTACTTTTCAGTCGGTTAGGGGAAAACTGATCGACTCTTTTCTTTATTTTAAAATTTAATTTTAAAAATTTTATTTTCTTTATTTTTGTGGATCTGTTTTTTAATGGATCTCCTGCTATTTGATTTGATTTTAATTTGATTATATCATTGAATTCAATCAGCAGTTTGCTTTTTAAATTAGGTTTTTATTCATAATAATTTCAGGGTGTAAACTTTAATTCCGAAGATCTTTTACGTGACCCATCACCGATCGAACGTGCCCGACATTTTGGACTTGTTTCGTTTGTTTGGGGCGATGATCTTAATTGCAAGGAACGCATTGATTATTTTAAGAAAGTATTACTCGTAGATGGCGTCATTTATGATAGGTCAGTGATTTCATGCTTTTGTTTTTTACACGTTTGGCGTATTGCATAAGTTTTTTGGTAACCTAGTTTAATTCAATATATTTTTCGCATTTTTAAAAATTTTATTGATTTTTCGAGCATATACTATTTCTATATTATTCAGTTCCAAGGTACATTTAAGGATTTAGTCTTTTAATTCACAAATGTAGCTTCTTTAAATAAGTGATTTTAGGATCGGCGAAATATGTGGTGAACGGCGTAACGTATTTTTAATTGAACGTGAAGCCAAAACATCACTTTTCAAGCAAGGTGTTTCTCCAACTAGTTTGGATGATACACCTTCATCACCTACTATTTCTGAAAAATCAGTTTCTTCCTATTCATCGACTGTTTCGTCAATTTCGCCTTATCGTGAAAACGGTTACTTGAATAAATGATTCTCCTACCATCTTATAGAATATAAAATTTCTCATATTTTTTTCAATGATATATCATTTTATTTCTGTTGTTTTTTGATTGCATCTCATCAGTTTATATTTTTTTTTCTGCTACGAGGTTTAACTAAATTTCTGGTTCGCTTTATTTTCAGCATAATTGGATAGAATATTAGCTTATATGTAAATTAGTTTCGTTTAAAGTGTGAATCAAATTTCAGTTTGTTTAAGGATCATATAAAGTAAATTGGACAAATTGATCTGATGGTGATACTAGCTTATATATTTCGTATTGTGCCAACATCGTTAAATAATTCATTCACATCTCATAAATCTTTCTGTATTTTTTTTTCTGGCATTTATTAATTTTTTTCAGCAAAAATTTCTCTTTTTGATATGTTTTTTTGTAGTACAAAATAATATATATTTTGTTGTTTTTCCCCAATTTTTCCAAAAAAGTACTTTTTAATTGAATTTCGAATGCAAATTTGCTTTTTTGTTTTATCGTAAAATATGAATTTTTGGACCATTTTTTTAACCATTTTGGACCATTTTTGATTTTATTGATGGAAATAGAAAAAATTTTCTTGAGAAATATTTGAAAAATTCAGTTGGAAAAATTAGTTAGTTTTTCAGTTAGTTTTTTTTCTAAAAAATTGGAGAAGAATCGAAAAATTCGTGAATTTACTAGATATTTCATGATTCTTGGATATTAATTTTTTAAAATTTTTTAAATTTTCTAAATTCTTACGGTGTTTTTTTTCTAACGGTGAATTTTGAATTTTATTAGTTTTGTTAACATTTAAAAGATTTTTTGGGTTATTTTGTCGACTTTTTTTAAGACTTTTTACTGCACATAACTGTGAAAAATAATTTTGGAAAATTATTTGACTGGTTTAAGCCTTCAGTGCTTTTGTAATTTTTTATATATTCTCGATATGTTGTTCATTGAAGCCTTTTCGTAAGCGAATCAATTTCGGCTTTTGCTTAAAAATAAGACTAAAAGATAATTAGTTAATTATTTCCCGTATCATTATACCCTCCCCTTTTAAATTAATTATTTCCGCATTATTTATACTTATAACTAAGGACATAGATCATAGTTTTTTAGTATCTCTCTGGCGGAAGATTTATCCAAATGCGTCATTCTAGTGGCGGATGAAATGTTTCTGGGGAATTATTCAGTTGCTGATAAGTCCTGATAACCAATGATTAACTGGCATCGTATTCACCTATCCATATTCGAAAAGAAAAATACTTATTTGTCTTATTATTTCTATAAATTAAGAAAAAATCGAATAATCCAAAGTTTAAACCATTTGAAAATCGCAATATATTTTTGTATATTGAAATGTTGAAGGTTATTACAACTCATAAAGTACATTATTATAAAGTAAAACATCAAAAATGTTTCTACTCGTTTATTCGTTTTATAAAAAATCACAGAAATTTTCAGCTAATGGAATTTTAAATTCGTTCCTTATCATTTATCACTTTGATACTTATTAGAATGCTTATTTGAAGCCTAAAGTCATAATAGAATCCTGAAAACACTATTTGAAAAACGTAGGTGCGAATACAAATTATTGTAGGCATTTTAGCTTTTTCCATAAATTCAAAAAACATTTATCGTTTATCATTTGTCAATTTATCATTTGTTTCAAAAATCTGCGTTTTTTGAATAATGAGCATGATTTTGATGAATTTTGATGAATGTATAAAAGTTTTCTAACAATTTTTATCATTTTCGAAATAATTATTATTTTATTTTTTATTATTTAATTATTATTTTAATTTTTATTTTTTTTATAATTTAGTAAAAGTATTTCTATTTTATAAATGATAGAAAAAATTTTAAAATTTACAAAGTTATTACTTCCAATAAACTTCATTTCTTTTTTTTTTGCGCCGAGGTCTAAGCCTAAGTTTTCTTCTTTTTACTTTTTATTGGCCAAGGATTTTTAGATTTTTGAGAAATTAAAATCTTTCTTATCCTAATTTCCAAACGACAATTAATTTTTTATTTGTTCCATCCATATTTTTATTTTTTTTTTAAGTTTATGTATGTTTTTTTTCTTATTTTTCTTCAGCTAAAGGGTATGAATGAAATCTCTTTAATCTTTTTTTTTTTTTTAATCCACGCAAGGGACGTGTTATATATTGTTATAGATTGCCGGTGCTTCTATCTCACATATAATATAAACCAATGGTGAAAAATTGGCCATAAAAACATTCAAAAGACCTAAGGACTTGATAAGTGAAGCTGAACCAAGAGAGAAAGTTCATACATATTTTCATCTAAATATCTAAATTTCTCATTTTTTTTCTCCCAGCCTTCCTTTTATTAGGATAAGTGAGCGACAAATAATTTTCCAAATTTAACCCTTGCCGTTCTAACTTCATATTGCAGGAAAATCTATGGCAGTACATTGCTATTCTTAGAAAAATTTCAAGAAGCCTAGCTTTCTGCGGTGACTAAAGTGAGCTCCTTTAATAGTAACTGCAACTTGAAATTTCCGCCGTAAGTCACTTGATGATAATAGACTTTTTCACTTGGTGGATTGTAATCGACACCAGGATTTTTTAATGATATCTTTCGTTCTTTCTTTCCACTGCAGGTACGAATCGAATCCTTAACTTTCAAAATGTTGATCTGGACCATGATCCAACTGATTATCCTCGCACTATCTGTCGTTTGTCACTGTATAAATCCTGGCAAAATATACTGAAAAAATATACTGAAAAATAATGAACTAAGAAAGAGGATAGAGAATTAAATCGTGAAACATAAGGGTCCATATCGTGTTCGTACCGTTTTCAGAAAAACTGGATATTTAAAATGTGAATAATTATTGTATAAAATTGTGTAAAAAAAACCTGAAGTTTATACAATAGATCCCATACAAATTAGAAAAATAATTTAAAATTTTTCATCATTCAAATTTACACTTCATGCAGTTAACTTCAAAATATCTACAAATACGAATGCTTCAAGAACGATGGATCGTTAATGGAAACAATGAATAAAATTATGTGTGAATATTTTTTCTTTCTGACCATGAAGCTGCAGTACAAGTTGCTGAAGCCAACGAAGAGTTACCACCATATTCATCTTTGGATCTGAAAAAAATGATGAAGAAACTGATGACCTTCATAACCGCTTAAAAATTTCTAATAGTAGTCCAAAAATTAAGCTATTCTATTTATCTATCTATTCTATCTAACTCTATTTTCCCCTATTTTCATTTTTTATCAGTCTCTAGATTTGCATTACCGAAAACTTTCCCTATTTCGGCCGTATTCATGGACTTCAAGTTGCGAATATATTAATTTTATTAATTTTATTCAATCTACACCAAGAAATTTTTTTCCGCCAGCAAAACGCATAATCTATTTATACTGACTATATGATAAATTCCTTCCAAGTGTAGAGTATTGATCTCATATAGTTTAAAATTATCATTACAACATTAAAATAAGCAATATTTAGACAAGACTTTTTTAATTTTTAGAACATCGCCGCCTACGACTATTGTTCGCCACAGTAATCTCGCTAATTGCGAATCATAGTAATTGCGAATAGCCTAAAAAGGCGGAAGTTCAGGAGATGTGATCAAGGAAGAATTTGAACGCACAAGTGAACCTAGGCAGTTGAAAAAGGAGCAGCTTCTATTATCAGATATGTATGAAAACATTAGGGAACCCTACTGACGTTCATACAAACAACGAAATTAAAAGGAAAAATTTTTAAACCTTGGAAGACCGGCATGCTGATCATTCATTGGCGTTTCACCATTTGTATCTAAAAAACACAAAACCTCACAATTGAATAAAATTAATAAGAATCAAAATGTTAAAAATTTGCATGAAACTTGAAAGAGCAAATAATTTCCGCATCTTTAAAAAGAAATTTTCCATTAAATTAAATTTTAATTTTTTGAATTCGCTTTAAGAAAATTTTTTCGCGAATTAGGAGAAATGATATTAGTGACACCATGCTTTCTGGTTAATTTCAAAATCAAAAACAACATTATAATCATTTCGGTGCCTTAAGATGGTTTATCAAATGAAAATGGTTTCGTTCGAATCAGATTAACGCACCAGGCTTCGTGGTCAGCAATATCGCCGAAAGTTAAAAGCAAAAATAAAATGGCACCATTGCTGGGTTATTTGCTCTTATTTTGTAGCGATGCTGTGGCTGTATTCTCTATTTCAAAAATCTAGGTGGTGCTAGCAACTCATTATCCCTCGCCAAAGAAGTCCCTGGTGAAATTCATCTGGCCCAATAGCTCCTTACCAATAATATTAAATTCCTACCATCAAAAAAATGCGAGCAAAACATACTTGAAGCTCTCACCATTTCACCAAAACGGTTTGTATCATTCATATTTCTGTGCCCACGTTTTTTTTGACACCAAGGACGAGCTTCTTCATTAAACCTTTAAAATTAAAATTATTTATAGTTAGAACCAATAAAAAATATTAAAATTCCGAAATAAAAAAAATATCGAAAAAATATCGAAAAATTCAATATTTTTGCGAAATATTACTCACTAAAGTAATCGCGCACTCAGCTATGCCCCTAAGTTAGATTTCAAAAAATTTTCATACATAAAAAATTGTAATGTTAATATTTTTGCGAGTTGAATTGTTAATCTCCAAAAACTTTTAAAACAAAAAAATGCAAAAAGTGAAAAAATCGAGCCAATCTTTCAAGATTGTTCAAACATTTTATAATTGAAAAATAATGAAATAATAATTACTAAAAAAATAACATATAGTAAATAAACATATAAATAATAATGGCACCTATTCACCAGCTCAATCGCTTCACCGATTCGTTCAAGTGGTGGTTCAACAAAATGCACTTCCTCGATTGGCTCAACATCAACATTTGGTATAGAGAACATCGCTGAAAATTTTAAGAAAAAAATCAAAAAAAGATGAAGTTAATAATGCTCTGCATAAAATAACAAAAAAATGAAAAAAAGACCTTTTAATTCAAGCATCGCCTCAACAGGAACTGGTCCAACACCATCGATACGAGACTGCCGCATTTGTCGATTAATCATTTCCTCCTCGGTGGGGATCATTATAACACATTTGCGCTAAAAACGATATAAATATTTAATCGAGTCTAATTGTTAATAACATATGTTTAATTTGTTTAAAATTCAATGACAGAATGACATAACAAAAAATTTTTATATATAACAATTAAATTTGCAAATAGATGAAAAATATAACCTGGAAATCTTTAAATTGTGTCAACTTCCTCTTCCTAGCTTCCTTTGACACATTGGTTTGATCAACAATATAGTTTCGTTTCCTACGACATGCTAAAGTTAATGAACGATTTAAAGCTTTCGCAATGAGACCCATAACCATATCCCATCTTCCCTGAAACATAATATTTTCTTTACAATATCTTTTCCTTACAATTTTGCATAAATCTTTAAAAAACCTCCTTTAAAAAAATTTCATGTGATGAGAACCACATTAAAATTAAAAGCTCTATTCATAGTTTAGTCTTCTTTATATATCACTGTAGCTTCCAAAATTCATAAAAAAAAGATTATCAAAACAAAAAGATCAGATTAAGAACAATCAAATTTAAAACCTGATGAACTCGACTCCTCGCAATTCCATTTACTTTCATAGCTGCAAGAATAGTATCAGTGCTTAGAAGAGTCCATTGCTCAAGTGGATGCTCTCTCAGGTATTGTCTTACCCACGTCGTTTTGCCAACTCCAGGCAATCCCACCATCATCAGAACCTGAAAAAACTTAATTCCTCATAAAATCTGATGTATAAAAAAAATAAACAAGAAATTAGATGTTTAGGTAGATAATTTTTTCTCTATTCATTTTCATCAAATAACCATAAAAAATCTAAAAAATTCCTTCCTTTAGTCTGAAATTTTAAAAATCTTGCAAATTTAAATGAAGTTAAAGATACATAATAGTGTAAAAATTGAACTCCATATTTAAAAAATTTTTATATATAACAATTAAAGTTGCAAATATTAACAGAAAAAATTAGAAAGCCTGTTGTTTATTAAATCTGTTATCAAAATTAATGGGACTTACAGTACATTCACTTTTACTCGGTGGAGGAGTAGGTCCTCGAAGTAACATGCCTCGTTCAATTGTATCCAAAAAAAATGCGTTTATATTTTCCAACCGGTTCAAATCCAACCAATCATCCAATGCATTATTTCCAAAATTTACTGCCATTTTACAATTTTTTGTGCAAAAATGTGGAAATATTACATCACCAGTTGAAAATTTAACGTCATTAAATGCAACACCAAGAAATCGATCATTTTTCCAATACGAAATTTCGGAGGCTTGAAGATCCTTTGTATAAAAAAAATTATTTTTGAAATATCAGATGATAACTGAGATATGTAAAAATTTTGAAAAATTTTAAAATAATGAAATTCTTTCAAAATAATCGAAAATGCAAAAAAAGAAAACATACGAGCACAGTTGTAATAATATCATTTATACGGAAGGTCTCGCCAAATTCAGAGAAAATAGTATTCACAGCTCGTCGAGCCATTGAACTGAATGCGTATGAATTAGCAGCTTCACCCAACTGAAAAATAGTGAATAAAATATGAAGAATTAATTTTAATTCTTTCTTTCCTTCTTACAACATTCATTATCTGATTCATTGAATTTACTGATCACGAAACGATAAGACGGTCAAAAGATTTCGCTTAAAGCAGTATATTAAATTCTTATTCCCTAAGCAGCCTGTAACCAAAAGTGAAATCCAGGTGAAGCAAAGAATAAAATTCCTTCTATTCCTGAATGATTCCAAGTTATCCAATTCTAATGATCAGTGGAACCAGTCAAATTAAAAACAACTATTAGAAGACAAAAAATTCTAAATATGCTTCATTAATTACAAGAGTAAGACATTTAAATAATCCTTTTGCTGCTTAAAAGCTAAATGCATAAATGAGTATTTAGCATCCAGCTTATTTCATTTTCAACAACGGTTGAGTCAATAGATTAATTAACTACTAATAAACAATAAAAGATAAATTAAAAATAAATAAAAATAATAATACATATACATGTAAATAAGATATATGTAAAGCAAATATAAGAAATGCACCATATTTGTTGTGTTGTTCAAAGACCATCCGATTCTAACATCGTGAGCGTTCATTTCATCGAATGGAAGATGCTTGACAGGCAAATATTCAGTGATCTAATATAAAAATTTTAAATGAAATAAATATATATACATAATTATAGAGATGAGAGTCAACGATATAAAATAATTTCGCCAGAATGCTCTAAACACTTTAAAAATCACACAAAATCATTCATTGAATAAAATATCCAATCTTTTAAAAGAAGAAATTAGTCTAAATTAGTTTAAAGTTAATTATAAAACGTGGAGCTCCAATTATTATCACCTTGCATTGATATGCGATTCTCGGAAATCCATCAAGATCTGCTGGGACAATAACGCCATATGTTGATCGAGCGCCACCCCACATTAATGCAAATCCGTCACCATTATCAGGATCAATTAGAAAAGGATTTGATTCGCTTGCTTTTATGTGGAGATCAGCATTATCTATAAAAAGTGGTAAATATTAAACGAAACAAATGAAGCAAACATTAGGAATAAAAGATAAAGAAATATAACCACAAAAATAATCAAAAGAAAATTTTACAAAAATCAATTTCCACATGTTCATCGCCAGGTGCTGGCTCTTCTTCTTGCATCAAAAGACCTTTTTTTGCTAAAACTGAGCGTTTTTTAGCAACTCCTTCGACAATAATCTCATCATCATCGTCAGGAACAGGTTCACCGTGAAATTCAGGCAATGGTTTATCTTCATTCTCCACTGCGTACTCGGAATCTGGCGCCATTTGTATATATGGCTGCGCTCGTACCTCTAAAATTGTTGAAAAAATAAAATTTTTATGAAACATAATACACAATATAACGATGAATGAAAAGTAACATAAAAAAAAATTAACAAATGAAGCAAAAATGGAATATGATCACTGATCACTGACCTGCAGCTGCTTCTTCAGATTGAAGTTTCTTCAATACATCAGAAGCCTTTTGAAGCAACCATCGAGGATCATGTATCAACTTTTGTTTCATTTCTGGTTTACTTCAAATCAGAAAAATTTTTATATACTGAGAATTTGGAGAAACAAAATCTTCTATGAACAAATAGTTCAGCAGCAATAAAAATAAAATAACATTAATAAAGTGCCGCATTAAGCGAATGATGAATACATCACCATGCAAATAAACAAAAAGAATAACCATATGAACAAGATGCGCAAATGAAAATGAAATTATAAAGAATGAAATTGAAAAAATTACTTTTCACTTGATTCGCTTTTCTCCACTCCATTTTCATTCAAATTTGATGAAGATTCTTGAAGTTTACCATAATTTTGAGTATTTATCTCCAGAACTTCAGATTCCGTTCTACTAGTAACATTATCATCAACAGCAGAAGATTGAATATAATCCTCGCTACAAACCGTTTCCACCAACTCAATAAGCAAAGTGTTAATGAGTAATTCAGGAGGTGGGCTAGCAGGAACATATGACGTTTCTTCGATAGAAAATTGTTGTTCATCACCATAAACTGTTCTATTGTTCGCATTTGCAATCTTGGTGGAGTTTGAAGTTCCAGCATTTAAACAATGAATAGGTGAATTTATTGGCAAGGCGACGTTTTCTATTAACTCGTTTTGCAACATAGTATCTCTTTTCGTTTCTTCAACAACTGCAATCTCTTCTTCATCTTTCAGAGCCTTATCTTCATCTTCTGTGAGTTCAATTTCTTTAACACTATCCGCTGAACTACTTTTCGTATTACGAGATTCAATATCTTTCAAACGTGCCAAAACAGCTTGCATAGTGCAAGTTAACTCCTTCACCTTTTCTGAATTCATTTCACAATTCGCAGAAGTGGATGGAGATAGTGTATCAACGGCTGAAATTTCAAAATCAGGACTCGATGAGGCAGAATTCACTATTAATAAATCTGCTTTCACGTCATTTTCAACAAAATCCTGTATGATTCCTTCTATAGCATCTTCATTAAATTTTTCAGCATTTTCATTGAAATCATCTCTCGTTAATGTGGGTTCAACTGTTTCTTCCAACTGCGGCAATATTGGAAACGGTGGAGGGGCTGGAAGTTTTGCCAGCAAATGTCTTCCATCTAACGTATTTTCTGCAAAAACAAAAGTTGTTATAACTATTTGAATAAAAGAACTAATGCAAGGAAAATGGGCATAAACTGGATGTTTGATGAAAGGTTTATTCATGCCGGATGCAGAAGACAAACCATGGACTTTCAAAATAATAATAAGCTATTAAATGCTTATGTATCCTACCTCTTAAAAAGAAAGAATGAAGGAAAAAAGAAAATTTCTAAAAAAATTTGTTGAATAACTGTAAAACTGTTGGAGAAAAAAATACTAAAAAATACCAATAACCAATATTTAACCAATATTAACCAATACTAACCAATATTTAATGATTGACTAAATGCTGGTGAATGATCGTCCGAACAAGCAGAAAATGAACAATCCGTTGTCTGCCTGCGTTTTTCAATCGAAGAACTTGGAAATATTTGTGATAAAGGTGCTGCGCTTTGTCGACGTTTTATCATTTCTAACTTTTGGCGCTCAGCAGCTTTTTGTTGCTCCGATTTAAATTTACTTGACAGAAGTTCTGCCTGGAAATTGACGATGGATATTTGACTCGATGGATATTATCCAGAAAAAAAGTAACAGGAAATAATTCACAATGGAATTACTTGTTTATCAAAAATTGAATCCAATACATCAATGGGAGCTTGTAGTCGGGGAGGGACTTTTTTGCGGATAGTGCTTTCTTTCTTTTCTCCAATTTTTTCATTAATTATTTGTTTCGGCTTCACAGACTCTTTTTCTTTTTCATCAACCTAAGAAAAACAATTGTAAATTTTCTTCAACACCAAAAATGAAAAAAAAAATTTTAACAACCTGAACGGAATTCGCCTGTTCTTCATCATTTTTCCTTATTACTTGTCCATCTACTGTTAAAACACCACAGTTCCTTTCAGATATCCGTGATTCAGGAAAATTAAGTTTTTGCGAACTGATATCCTCTCGTTCGATGGACCCAACTTTATTAATTGAATGGTTTTCTGGCTTACAATTTTGTTTCAATTCTGTACCATTTTTCATTCGTTTAGCGTCTGATTTAAAGACAAGTTTTTGCAATTTCGTTGCCTTTTTCCTTTCCTTTGAGCTCATACTGATTCTTCTTGAAACTTTATTATTACCACTAGTTTTGTTTCCATTATTCATACGAATTCTTGCGGTGTCTTTCACATTTTTTATCACAGATTCACTTGGCAAATTAGTTAGTTTATTTTGCTAAAATGGAAAATACGATTAATTTGAAAAAAAGGTAGTGGATGATTCCATGAAAAAAAAAGATATTATATTTCGAATATCATCTTTACAAATCTTTTAATATACTGTATATAAAGGGCAATTGGTTTTTCAGAATTTGACTCAATTGTAAAACTTAAAATTACGAATTTAAGAATAAAAAATTTAAGTTATAAAATTATAAAATTATATAATATAAAATAAACATAAAATTTAAGTTATATAAAATTTAAAATTTAAGTATAAAATTTAAGTTATAATAAAATATAAATAAAATTTAAAATAAAATTTAATATAAAATTTATAATATAAAATTTAAGTTTTTGTGTTTTAAAGCAATATGGTTACAATATACGATATTTTTTACCCACTGCTGGTTAGATTCGCTCAGTTGGCTTGTCGAATTAAACAAATATGTCAAGGAAGCCTTTTGGCACAGAAATACAGGTGAGTTGCTAGCATCATCGGGATTTTTGCACAGGCTAATTCCTAGAAACAATATCGGAGCTCCATATGAGCAACCTACTGAGCCATTCTACTCTCCTTTGGTTTCTCCATTATAATGACTGACGAAGATTAGTCGTATCCGTTAGTCGTATGCATTCTCGGTGGCAATTATATTGTCACTGAGCCATTACATATGTGTATTTTATAAACATATAAAATAAATCGTATAATTGCCTGACGTACCTCATCAAGATTTTCTTCAAAACTGCTAAAACAAGGCGAATCACTCATTGCATCTCCTTTCTAAAAATAGGAAAATAATCCGTAAAATTCAAAACACATTAAAATTGAAATTGTTCTGAAATATTAAAAAAATGGAAAATATATTGCGAAAAAATTTATTTACTTATAAATAAATTTATAAATTTATTTTGAATGCGCATAAAGTTAAGAATTTAGAGCATAGATGAAGAAAAAAAGCATTCCAGTAAATTTCCGACATTTGATAGCTCACCCTATTCTTCAAGTGCAATCAAGCTAGAAATGACGCATGAAAATAAATATTATTCAAGAGAGTAATTTTAAAATTCATACGAGTGGAAAGCAAAATAAAACTAACTGAAAATTCCATTGAAAATGATTCTTCGACGATAATTGCCTCTTCACATGTCTTCATTTTCTTTTTTGGTGGAGATGGGGAAACATCAGCGATCTATACAATATACTTTTAAAAAAATTATATAAATTTTATTTCAATTATCGGTAATACAATCAATAAATTTCAAAAAATTGCTGTGCAAATATTTCAATTCATGGCGAAAAAAATTCTACAAATCTCACCTCTGTAAATCTTTTCAAGCATCGTTCCTGCACAGAGTCGAAAACTTTGCCTATAGAAAAACAGTGCAGAGAACGCTCTTGAGAAACTGCATCCTGAACGAAAAAATTTTATAATCAAACAAAAAAAAAGATTCATTCTTAAAAAACAAAACAATACAAACCTGTAAGCGATCGGCTAAAATACTTTTATTGCCAGTTGTATCCAAACCTCTTAATTGCAATTCTTTTCTTAATCGTACAGCATCTAATAAATAAATCATAGCTGGATTGAGGTTATCTGCGCCACTAGCGCTCCGTCTACTCCTAGTCGCCATAACTTCTAAAATTAATATAGCACAATCGATATTTCAAATCTTAAAATGAATAGAAGGATGAGAAAATGATAAATCAAAAGAAAAAAAAAAGTTTAGTAGCGATTATAGGCTAATAGATTTTCGAGAAAATATTCGTTATTTGCAATTACCACTTAAAACAATGAAAAATACGTAAAATTTATAAAATAAAATTTAAAATTTTGTTAAATTTATAAACTAATTAATGATAAATTTATAAATTAATTAATGATTAATGATAAATTTAAAAATGAATTAATGATAGATTATTTGGTGCACTTTGATTAATTCACTATTTGGTTAATTAATTTTTTCATCTTCATTTTCCAGTTAAAACATTAAAACATTACAATAGTTATATTAATGCTATATTATCATATTTTACACACTGAGGTAAAATTAGAATCACTGAGGTTCCCATTCCAAGAACAAACTTATATTTTTTCAAAAATTCCGGCTGATATTATTAATGACACTCTGATTTGACACTGCATTGACATCCCTGCTGAAATTTCCTTCCCTGAATCGATAAGCTAATGGGGTGAAACCTAACCATAAATGAGATGAGTGTATTTTGATTAAAAAAAAAAAAATTAAATCAACAAAATTTGCAGTCCGCGAAATACGAAAAATTTGTCGTCAATGGTAACCGACATTTTAAAGTTTTTTTAAATTAATAAAAATAATAAAAATATTCGTTAAATATTCGTTAAATAAATGATAATTCATTAACGATAAATTTTGTACATTCGATTTGTTTTTAAAAAAATGAAATTCTTCAAAGTAAAAAATTTTTTATAGCTAATGAGGGGATCATTTGCGCGCGCACTATAGTCTCGGAGAAGAAATATACAACGTTTTTTACAAAAAAAAACCCCTTATTTAATTGAAAAATCCAAAAACCTCTAAAAAAAAAATAAAAATAAGCGATGACATCCTATCCCACGACGAATCTCTCATCTTATTCAGCACATTACGTCCATCGTTGTAAACTTCGTACTTTAGGCTCGGGAATAGTTCGTCACTTCAATTATATTCATGATTATCTAATGTTTGAAGTATAGCTGCTATGTTATCGTTTAATCTTATCGTTTAAGCGATATCCAAGCAAACAAAGGCCAGCGATATATGGACTTAGAAGATGGAAAAAGGAATGGCTTCTATTACTACTAGCGATGGCGTCGGACCGAGCAATTTAGAGATGTCTTATCTTTGTAATCAATGGAGCCAACCTAACTAGGAACGGTGGGTAAGTCTGATTAGAAATGATGAGTGTTCTTCAAAAAAATTCAATGAAATAAATGGTAGATTTATCAGCTGGTTTATCATAATTTGCCTTTAGGCTGACTCGTTTTCGACTATTTTGCATATATTTAGGAAAAATGAATGGTCAAAACGATTATGTGTCATTACTGGGGCGCCAAGGTTTCTTGGACTGCCATTAAGCCAGACTAATAAAATCATAAAAATAATTTTAGGATAATAATTTCATGCTTATTTTGGTTTGATAGGGCCAAATTGGTCAAATTCGTAGTTTGGTAGTTCGTCCAAAGAATCCAAAATATTGAAATTCAAGTGCAGATGGTTCCTCAAAAGACATATGGATTTCATTTTTAATGGTAGTTTTTATTCTATCAAAGGAGAGTGATCGAGCCTATCCTATATTATATAATTGGATGAGCGAACAAAATGGTTAGATTATCGATGAGTTACTTAAATTATCATTTCAAGAGTAATGATGCTATATCCTTGGCTGCATTATCACTTATTATTATCATTTATCATCTATTACCATCATTATATCTCAACTTCATGACAATCCAAGATGCTTTGGTGCTTCAATAAGGATGTTCATCTAATCGTTTGGCAGAAACTGGCAAAGTCTCGAATGTTGCTTTGAAGACATATTTCCATTCTCAAGTAATCCTTAGGCAAAATTCCTGACTTTTCCTCTTATTCCGTTCCAATAAATTAATTAAATTTACGAAGTTAATTAAATTAAATAAATTAATTTAATTTAATTAAATTTGATTTATTATTTATCATCAAATTAATAAAATATGAAATTTTACTCATTTCTTGTTCAACTTTTCCTAATTAAAATTCATTTGTGTTCCATTTTTATAAAATTAGGTTAGTGAAATTAGAGCAAAACTTATTATTACCTACCATATATAACGTCTATTTGATTTAATTAATTGAGTCATATTTTTTAAAAATATTTAAATATTCTAAAAATAAGCGATTCTTTTTCTTTTTTATGCA